TGGTGATGGGAGGTGGGTGGGGACATGGTGATGGAGGCGGGTGGGGACATGGTGATGGAGGCGGGTGGGGGCATGGTGATGGGAGGCGGGTGGGGACATGGTGATGGAGGCGGGTGGGGGCATGGTGATGGAGGCGGGTGGGGGCATGGTGATGGAGGCGGGTGGGGGCATGGTGATGGAGGCGGGTGGGGGCATGGTGATGGAGGCGGGTGGGGGCATGGTGATGGGAGGCGGGTGGGGGCATGGTGATGGGAGGCGGGTGGGGGCATGGTGATGGAGGCGGGTGGGGACATGGTGATGGGAGGTGGGTGGGGGCATGGTGATGGAGGCGGGTAGGGACATGGTGATGGAGGCGGGTGGGGGCATGGTGATGGAGGCAGGTGGGGACATGGTGATGGGAGGCGGGTGGGGGCATGGTGATGGAGGCGGGTGGGGACATGGTGATGGAGGCGGGTGGGGGCATGGTGATGGGAGGCGGGTGGGGGCATGGTGATGGAGGCAGGTGGGGGCATGGTGGATGGGAGGCGGGTGGGGACATGGTGATGGAGGCGGGTGGGGGCATGGTGATGGAGGCGGGTGGCAGCATGGTGATGGGAGGCGGGTGGGGGCATGGTGATGGAGGCGGGTGGGGGCATGGTGATGGAGGCGGGTGGGGACATGGTGATGGAGGCGGGTGGGGGCATGGTGATGGAGGCGGGTGGGGGCATGGTGATGGAGGCGGGTGGGGACATGGTGATGGAGGCGGGTGGGGGCATGGTATTGGAGGCGGGTGGGGGCATGGTGATGGGAGGCGGGTGGGGGCATGGTGATGGAGGCGGGTGGGGACATGGTGATGGGAGGTGGGTGAGGGCATGGTGATGGAGGCGGGTGGGGACATGGTGATGGAGGCGGGTGGGGACATGGTGATGGAGGCGGGTGGGGGACGCTGGATGGGAGGCAGGTGGGGGCATGGTGATGGAGGCGGGTGGGGGCATGGTGATGGAGGCGGGTGGCAGCATGGTGATGGGAGGCGGGTGGGGGCATGGTGATGGAGGCGGGTGGTGGCATGGTGATGGAGGCGGGTGGTGGCATGGTGATGGAGGCGGGTGGGGGCATGGTGATGGAGGCGGGTGGGGGCATGGTGATGGAGGCGGGTGGGGGCATGGTGATGGAGGCGGGTGGGGGCATGGTGATGGAGGCGGGTGGGGGCATGGTGATGGGAGGTGGGTGGGGGACGCTGGATGGGAGGCAGGTGGGGACATGGTGATGGAGGCGGGTGGGGGCATGGTGATGGAGGCGGGTGGTGGCATGGTGATGGAGGCGGGTGGGGGCATGGTGATGGGAGGCGGGTGGGGGCATGGTGATGGAGGCGGGTGGGGGCATGGTGATGGAGGCGGGTGGGGGCATGGTGATGGGAGGTGGGTGGGGGACGCTGGATGGGAGGCGGGTGGGGACATGGTGATGGAGGCGGGTGGGGGCATGGTGATGGAGGCGGGTGGTGGCATGGTGATGGAGGCGGGTGGGGGCATGGTGATGGGAGGCAGGGGGGGCATGGTGATGGAGGCGGGTGGGGACATGGTGATGGGAGGTGGGTGGGGGCATGGTGATGGAGGCGGGTGGGGACATGGTGATGGAGGCGGGTGGGGACATGGTGATGGAGGCGGGTGGGGGACGCTGGATGGGAGGCAGGTGGGGACATGGTGATGGAGGCGGGTGGGGGCATGGTGATGGGAGGCGGGTGGGGACATGGTGATGGAGGCGGGGGGGGCATGGTGATGGAGGCGGGTGGGGGCATGGTGATGGAGGCAGGTGGGGGCATGGTGATGGAGGCGGGTGGGGACATGGTGATGGAGGCGGGTGGGGGCATGGTGATGGGAGGTGGGTGGGGGCATGGTGATGGGAGGCGGGTGGGGGCATGGTGATGGAGGCGGGTGGGGACATGGTGATGGGAGTCGGGTGGGGGACGCTGGATGGAAGGCGGGTGGGGACATGGTGATGGAGGCGGGTGGGGGCATGGTGATGGAGGCGGGTGGGGACATGGTGATGGGAGGCGGGTGGGGACATGGTGATGGAGGCGGGTGGGGACATGGTGATGGAGGCGGGTGGGGACATGGTGATGGAGGTGGGGGGGCATGGTGATGGAGGCGGGTGGGGACATGGTGATGGAGGCGGGTGGGGACATGGTGATGGAGGCGGGTGGGGGCATGGTGATGGAGGCGGGTGGGGGACGCTGGATGGGAGGCAGGTGGGGACATGGTGATGGAGGCGGGTGGGGGCATGGTGATGGAGGCGGGTGGGGGCATGGTGATGGAGGCGGGCGGGGGCATGGTGATGGGAGGCGGGTGGGGGCATGGTGATGGAGGCGGGTGGGGCATGGTGATGGAGGCGGGTGGGGGCATGGTGATGGAGGCGGGTGGGGGCATGGTGATGGGAGGCGGGTGGGGGCATGGTGATGGAGGCGGGTGGGGGACGCTGGATGGGAGGCGGGTGGGGGCATGGTGATGGAGGCAGGTGGGAACATGGTGATGGAGGCGGGTGGGGACATGGTGGATGGGAGGCAGGGGGGGCATGGTGATGGAGGCGGGTGGGGGCATGGTGATGGAGGCGGGTGGGGGCATGGTGATGGAGGCGGGGGGGGGGGGGGGCATGGTGATGGAGGCGGGTGGGGAACGGCACGAGTTGAGCTGCGTGGCTGTGCCTGGCCGGCCGTACTGGGACGTCACTCTGTGCGCACGGACCTCCCAGGTCCACCGTGGCAGGAGCTCGCGTGGGCTCAGCGTGGGCAGTGAGGGCGGGGCTCTGCCTACAGAGGGCTTGCTTCACTTGGGACGCGGGCCAAGCTGGTCTCCTCACGGGGCAGAGCGGCTCTGTCCTCGCACCAATCACGGAACCCCAGTGGTCCCCACCTTTGGCCGTACAACAGTTATCACCCAGAGATCTAGATCCCAGTGCGCAGGCTGCACCCCAGACCAACGACTTCGTTACCTCCATCCCTTTGGGGGGTGGGAAGAGGTCACCACAGACCTAAACTAGAGGAAACGCATGACCTCGCAAGCTCCCAACGCCACGGGACCCAATACAACAGCCAGCAGCACCTTTCCCTAGAACGCCTCCCCCACTCTAGGCTCCGCAGGCTCCGCTGGCCCACCGCGATGCAGCGCCGGCGAGCGCCACCTCCAGCGCCAGCAGCGGCTCCCTCCGAGCCTGCTCCCGCCGGCGTGAAGACCCTCGTGAGGGCCTGGGCCATCCTCCCGACCTCCAAGCCCACCTGCTGCGGCCAGCTCGTCACAGCGGCTGAGACGCTGGTTCTGCTGGTTCTCCTGCGTAGCAGGCCAAGTGACGCCGTGCGGTGCGGCGTAGCACATGTATCCACGCAGGCGCGGCCCTCCCCACCAGCTGCAACCGGTAGAGGACACTAAGGTCGCAAGGCACGTGGGCTGAGCACCACCACCTGGCGACTTGTAGCTTGAGTTTGTTCCCACTCCAAGCCTGGGTATGTCAGGCTCTGGAACATTCTGATGTTCCCCTAGAGTATCCTCTAGAGTAGAACATAAAGTTTTCTGACTCCCAAGTTGAATATAGCTTGAAGATTCGTTTTGATTGGCACCTTTTTTGTTGTTGTTGGTCGTGGGGCCTGAACTCTGGGCCTGGGCGCTGTCCCTCAGCTCTTCAGCTCAAGGTGAGCACTCTACCACTTGAGCCACAGCGCCACTTCCAGTTTTCTGGTGGTTTATTGGCGATCAGAGTCTCACGAAGTTTCCTGCCTGGGCTGGCTTTGAACCGGGATCCTCAGATCTCAGCCTCCTGAGTAGCTAGGATTACAGGCGTGAGCCACTGGCGCCTGGCTCAGCTTACAGTTCTTTACATAGGGTCTGGCATGTGTTGTCACTCAGTATATGCAGTGTAAACAAGAAGCAGAGACATGGGTCTGCCAGGCCTCTCCTACGCAGTAACAGGACTAGCGGCAAACACCCACCCCACTGAGAAGAAAACTAGCATGGCTTGGGCCACTGGGTTAAAGGAAGCTGTTGAACAGTGAGCTGACAAATCCCTAAGATTGGAATGATTTTTCTGACAGTTCCACCTGCAGAAAGCACAGATCTCTTATTGCTTCACCTTTGGGTTCAAGCACGCTCTGTCGAGAGGTGAAAGGTTTGCTGGCCTCTGGCGGCCATTTCTCTGCCAATCACAGGGTCAGGCTACGGCAGCTGCTGCGGTCGGGAGGCACGGGCGGCGTGGCAAGCCTGGAGGTGAGCCTGCTGCAGGAGGCGCCTGCGACCAGCTGACATCTCCACCCCAAGCCTTTCCTCGGGGGCCTGCCCGGAAAGCCAGTGCTGGTGAACGTAAGCGGGGACTGGCGTGCAAAGGCTACCTGGTGTCCGCGGTGGGCATGTGCCCATGCAGCCTGCGGACACGGACAAGCACAGGCGGCACGGCAGGCCAGACTGGCGAAGCGCAGATGAGAGGGGACATGCCCTTCCCGCCAGAGGCGTTGCAGAAAGGTGGGGAGACGTGCGTGCGTGTGCGCGTGCGTGTGCAAGTGTGTATGCACGCGTCTGTGTTTCTGGACAATAGTTCTTTTCCAATAGAACTGTGACAACGTGTTGAAGGATGGGAAATGGCGCCTTTTGTGGGGACTTACATATCATACAATATATATATAGTGTATTTACAATGTACATAGATGATGTGTGTATACATAAAATGTATACTTTTTCCTCTACATTTGTCAGCCTGAACAAGAGTGCTCTGCTTTTCCTTCCAGAACCGAGAGAGCGCTAACAAACACAAACCAATAAACAGGTGCAGTCAGCACAGTCTCCAGCCCCTACTGGGCACCGGGCACTGGGCACTGGGCACCGGGCATGTGCTCCTTAAGGCACACAGGCCTCTGGGATCTCCAGCAAGGGAGGACATGTTGTGGACATGAAGTCAGCCAAGCTACACTACCACGGAGGGCAGGGCGAGGCCGGGCGTGGGGCACTCGGGGTCCCACGCGGGGTCTATACTGAGACACTGTGAGGAAGGGCAGGACTTTTATTTGCCCAGATCTTCAGGCAACCTTAGCGAGCTGCAGGCTGCATGTAGCCGAGTATGAAACCAAGAAAAATGCCAAGGTCTAAAGTATTGTGCAGGGACGGGGCTCCCTCAGCGGCAGGTGGACCGGGAGCTGGAGGTGAGCTGGGCTGAGGCGGCCGCCAGCCGCAGCCCTCACACGATCTTCACAGTCTTGAGCATATCCGACAGGACGTAGCTGTCATCCCAACCCCTCCCAGGCCTTTTCAGGGTCCGCTCCAAGGTCTGGGCCATGTCCAGGAGCTCTGGGGTGGCGAGTTTCTGCGCCGGGGACAGCTGACAGAACAGGATCTCGTTCACCTCTCCCTCGATTCGCCGGACATACAGGAGAGGGAACACCGCCTTGAGGTCCGCCAGAACAGACTCCTTTAGCGCCGAGTCTCGGCACACGAGGTTGAGGATGAAGACGCCTGCAGCGTGGGAAGAGTAGAGGACCACAGATCAGCAGACGAGACAGAGACAAGGGCCGTGCTGGAGAAGGCCGGCCGCCGGCCCTCGGAGGCCACGGCGAAGCAGACACGGCCACCGCGGCAGGAAGCTTGCTGGGAAGACTTCAGAAGACACATCCGCCTCACTTCTTGCTCTTCTGTGTGGCTAACACATTCCCATTCTCTATGCCTCAGTTTCCCAAGAACTGTTCTGATAAAGAAGTCACTAACTGGGCACCGACAGCTCACATCTGTAATCCTAACTATCTGGGAGGCAGAGATCAGGAAAATTGCAATTTGAGGCCAGACTGGACAGCAAGTTTCCAAAACCAACAGCTCTGTAGGGGACTGAGCTCAGGAAGGCTGCAGATCAAAGCCAACCCAGGTAAAAGAAGTTTGCGAGACCTCCATCTCAACAGGAAGAGCTGGGTACAGTGGAACATGCCTGCCATCTCTGGTACAACACAAGCACACATAAAAGCAGTGTAATTCAGGCCAGTCTGGGTAAAAAGCAGGACCCTGTCTCTTTGCCAGAGTGAAAAAGACTATAAAGACGTGGCTCAAGCAAACAGAGCAGTTGCCTAACAAGCACAAGTCCCAAGTTCAAATCCCACACACACACACACACACAAATAGTAATTCACATCTCCAAGAAAATAACACCTGGTCAGCTCCACAGGCTGCTGCGTCCTAGCCCGACACCGCGCGGCGCTCACTGGCTAGTGAGTGAGAAGGCCACCCAGAGCGACTCGAGTCCTGGTTAAGCCCAGGGCACCACAGGACTTGACACCAAGCCCAAGACCTAGAGGGAGCCGGGCGTCGGTGGCTCACACCTGTCATCCTAGCTACTCAGGAGGCCGAGCTCTGAGGATCGCAGTTCAAAGCCAGCCCGGGCAGGAAACTCCGTGAAACTCTTATCTCCAATAAACCACCAGAAAACCAGAAGTGGCGCTGTGGCTCAAGTGGTAGAGCGCTAGCCTTGAACTGAAGAGCTGAGGGACAGCGCCCAGGCCCAGAGTTCAGGTCCCACAACCAACCCTCTCCCCCCACCTCCCCCCAAAAAAAAAGACCTAGAGGGCTGTGACTTTGGAGATTGAGAGCTTCAGAGCTGGACACGTGGCTCAGTGGTAGAGCATCTGCCTAGCAACATGAGGTCCTGAGTTCAAACCCCAGTACTGTCAAGAAAAAGAAGAGTAGGAGTAAGCCTTCCGCCTGCTCTCTCCCGAGCTCAGAGTAGATGAAGCACTCCAGTGGTCGCCAGTGTCGCACCGTGCGTGTGCGGCAGGGTCTACGCATGTGCACAGTACAGACCACGCTGTGTGTACACCAAGAGACTCACAAATACTCCACCCAACGGTGTGGACTGGACGAGAAACCGGAAACCACCCCCGCCCTGACAGTGGAGATGTGCAGTCACGTATGCACGACCCCCACAGCCAGGCGCCGGGTAACCGAGTCCCACCGACGTGCCTGCCAGGGCTGCTCTGAATCAGGTTCTTCAGACCTCAGCCTCCTGAGCAGCTAGGACTGCAGGTGTGCGCCACTGAGCCTGGCTGCCTGCATTTTTTTTCTTTTTAATCAAAGTAAAGATTGTTCCTAAGCCCGCCCGCTCTTCCTTCTGTAGTTCTGCGACGTGTGCTTCAGCATACCTTCAGGAGTCAGGAGGCTTCTGACCTTCTGCAGGAAAGACAACTCCACAAACGCCGGGGGTGGGCAGCTCATCCCCACGGCGGGGTCCTTGCTGTCTACATCAAACATTACCACGTCATAGGCGGGCCGGGCTGGAAAAGAGAAGCCAAAGTGGCCACAAAAGCTAAGAAGGAGGACGTGATTTGCCCAGACCACTGATGGCCCTGCCCAAGAATCCTTGCCATCCGAGTTAACCGTCCCACGGTGAACCTCCACACATCCAAACACGCCCTCCACGGGCGCAAACCGAGGGCCCATCCTAGGCTGGGGCTGGGGGGGGGAGCTGGGGGGAGTCAACCCTGGCAGAATCTGAGAATCAGCTTGAAAAGTGTCTACATCCTCAAGAAAATGTAGATTACATTCCTGACCAAGGAAAAAATTCTGGGATGGTGGGAAGTAGATGAGAAAAGAGATGGGAATTTCCCTCTGCAATTTTCTTCTCTCTAGGGGGGCTGAGAACTGGTGATCGAGACAAAGCAGCCGAGTAGGCATTTAAGCGCTGGCCCGGCCAAGAGTCACTTCCTCAACTCTGAAAACAGCTCCTGTTCCAGGAGAGAAGTCAACGCTGTGACACTGGAAGCCAGCGGTATCTCTTCCAGTTCCGGGAGCAAGAGCTGGCTCAAGAGACAAACCATCGGGCTGGGAAGGTGGCTCAGTGGTAGAGTGCTTGCCTTGCAAGCCTGAGGCCCCGGGTTCGATTCCTCAGCACCACATAAGCAAAAAGAAAAAAGCCGGAAGTGGCGCTGTGGCTCAAGTGGTAGAGCGCTAGCCTTGAGCTGAAGAGCTGAGGGACAGCGCCCAGGCCCAGAGTTCAGGCCCCACGACCGGACCCAAAAAAAAAAAAAAAAAAAAAAAAAAAAGAGACAAACCATCTTGCTGAGCGGATGAGAAGGAACGTGATCTGCTCCCTCCCAGGAGGTGCGAGCGGCGGCAGGCGGCGCGCCGTGACCCTGAGCTGGTGACTCTGCCATCGGGGTGCACTCTGGGGCGTGGCATGCCAAGAACTGATGCAGACTTGATCGGACGTTGATTACCCTGCCTGCTCTCGGCGCTCAACCCTGAGCCCAGAATCCCGCACAAGGTGGGCAAGCACTCTACCGCTGGACCCTTACACTAGCCTTGATTTTGGTTTCTTTGCAAAAACAACAACAAAAAAACCCACAAAAACAAAAACTATTTGGCAGGCCGACATGCAAGGAAAAGCATGGAGGCGGAGTCAGCACAGTGGTCAGGACCCAGCGCTGGACGCCGCCCGCAACGCCAGCAGGGCACCAGTGTTACCTGAAGGTCTACCACACACCCGACAGCCAGACAGACACTTCGTGTGGTTTGGCCGTCTTCGGCCTGACACAGTGATGGAACCGGAAGAGTCACAGGTAGGTTCAGGTGACAAGGGAAAACCTCAAGACTGTCACCTGCGCATTCCAGCCCCCACGCCTCCCGGCAGGCCTCCGTTTGCCACACCCTTCCGGAAAGACAGCCTAGCCTCGGGGTAACTAGGGCACCCACGACTGAGCAGGCAGACCGGGGAAGGCAGCCTGAGCTCCCCGGCGAGCCTAGCTGCAGCGCTATGAAAGGGGCAGAGCAGTTCCCAGTGCTAGGAAGAAATGAACAGGCCTTTACCTAAGTCCAGGGCACAATCAGAGCAGAACGGAGCCTTAATTCCAGCCGCGGGAGGACTAGCAACAAGTCATGGCCGCATCGGGCTGGCTCAGCCTCAGCCCGGCCGCCTCTGGGGCCGCAGTGCTGCCAAGGCCGCCTGCCTGTGCCTGCCTGTGCCACCCCCCCCCCCGGGGCGGGGGAGGGGGAGTGGAGGGGGGAGGGAGGGGGGACCTCGAGCCACTCAGAGCCTCTCCACACTGGGAGCAGCTGCCTCCCCACACCCCACTTCTGGGACAATGAAAACTGTGTCTGCGGATGCTGTCGACTGTCCTGGGCCAGCGCGGAGCTGCGCGGACACTGGGCACCCGTGTCTGACTGATTCCACCTTCAACTGAAGGCTTCACCAAACGCCCCAACAGCCACCTCAGCTGTTTCCACGTTTTTCTTCCCTTTTCGCGTACCCAGCGAGGCTTCCACTCCCTTGCAAGGGTGAGGAGTGGCAGGGTCAAGGGTCAAGGAAAAAGGGTACGTCAGAACGCGAAGGCCGCCACAGTCCTCCGGTCCTCAGCACCGCGCTAAGCAGACGCCAACCAATATGGACCCATCAACCAATCACTGGACGGCAAGGACTGGCGCGGAGGAGAGGAATTCCGGGGGCCTTCGGGCCAGTGTCTGCTAGCGCCCCTCCCCGCGTCCCCCCTCAGTACCTCCTTCTGCCCCCGCCAGGCTGGTAATATAATCCAGGCCGTCTGCAATGTGGACTCTCATCCGGTCACTCTGCGAGAAGCCAAACCACCGGGTGGCCACTTCCAACATGGAGGGGTCGATCTCCACGGCGTCCAGGCAGGACTTTGGGAAGTGGTCGTGGACGAACAGGGGGAGGCTGCCTCCACCCAGGCCCACCACCAGCAAGGCCAGAGGGCTGTCTGTAGGGAGAGAGAGGTGTCACCATGCCCTGCTCCGGCTGCAGAGTGCGGCGCCCCCTGAGCGGGGCTGACGGTGTCAGCGCTGCTCACAAACGCAAGGCTCAAAGCACTGGCCTCCCTCCCTCAGACCAGAAAGTGAGAGTCAACTGACACCTGCAAACTGACCCTGAAGATGTTTCATGAGTTAGCATTATGGGCTCTTAAAGATCTCTAAGCACTCTGCTTCACGGTATCAGAAGATTTCCTGGAGACACCCACATCGCAGGAGATGGAGAACAATAGCCCCATTCCCTTATTCCTGATCCTGCCGTAGGGCAGGGGCGATGCCCCTTGACTGACTCTGGACTCCACAGTCCGGAACTGCCTTTTCAGACATCCTGACCAAATAAGGGTCATCTGTCCAGTTTTGTACATCCCAAGAAAACGCTGAAGGCCCAGGTCCTAGCCCTAATCACAAAGAAAACTCAGCAACCACAGAAGAAGGGACGCAAGACAGGACAATCCCCGAAAGGAGCTAGGCCCTAGGACGAAAGCTAAGAAATGAGATTTCAGGCACATAACACAGAGCATTTCAGTAGGGGTATTTGAGGACTTCAGACAAACACATTTCTAAGTGTGAAACGTCTTCTAATGAGGTTAGACCCAGATAGTCATAAAACTATCTCTGCACTGACCATAATAAGGATTTTTAGGTTAAAATTCAACAATTTTCATCTTGTGCTCAAGGAATACACTACCGAAAAACCACATTATCAAAGGCTCTGGACATCTAATTTTTAAATCTAGTTAACATGGATATATAAAACGTAAAATTTCATCAAACTGAGCACTTAATCCAAATACTTTTCATTTGGTAATTTTTTTATACCTTAATTTTCAAAAGAAATGAAAAAGCTGGGTGCTGGTGGCTCACACCTGTAATCCTAGCTACTCAGGAGGCTGAGACTTGAAGATCGAGGTTCAAAGCCAGTCCAAGCGAGAAGGTCTATAATATTATCTCCAATTAACCACCAAAAAGCCAGAAACAGAGCTGTATCTCAAGTGGTAGAGTGTCTACCTTGAACACAAAAGCTCAGGAAGAGTGCTCAGGCCCTCAGACTGGAAAGCAAGGAAGCGAGGAAGGGAGGGAGGGAGGGGGGAGAGGGGGAAGGAAAAGAGGGAAGGAGGGAGGGAGGGAGGGAGAAAGGAGGGAGGGAGGAAGAAGGGAGGGAGGGAGAAAGGAAATGGAAGGAAGGAAGGAAGGAAGGAAGGAAGGAAGGAAGGAAGGAAGGAAGGAAGGAAGGAAGGAAGGAAGGAAGGGAGGGAGGGAGGAAGGGAGGAAGGAAGGAAGGGAGGGAAGAAAGGACTTATGCATCAACACGTGCAGCCATTTCAAGATGACAGGCTGAAACACCCAGAGACGCAGCGACTGCCAGTTTGCAATCACTGCCCAGCTACTTCTCTAGGCTCCCAGGCTCCCCCTTGTGGCGGGCGGTGGCATCTCGCTCACCTAGGAGGCGCTCCGGGTTCCTGAGCAGGGTGAGGCCGGCGATCATGGCTTTGTGGTGCTCACAGCAGAGGTAACTCTTATCGATGGACTGCCCAGGGGCAGGAGGGAGGTCCTCGGAAGCATTCGTAGATCGCTGCTTCTTCTTTTCCTTTTTCCGTTTCTTCTGGGCTGGATGAGAGATTTACACTAATGAAATACTACTATGCTTCTTACTCTAGTCCTTGGACATAAAGGTTACAGGTATCAGTGTGCAGATATTGGCTTGAACAGACTTGAAAGCCAACTGTTAAAGAGGCAAGAATTTGCTGGGTGTTCACACTTGTAATCCTAGCTAATGAGGAGGCCGGGATCTGAGTACTGCCATTCTAGGACAGCCTGGGCAGGAACATCTGTGAAACTCTTATCTCCAATAAACTACTCAGAAAAAGCTGGAAGTAGCTTTGTAGCTCAAGAGCCCTAGCCTTAAGCAAAAGAAGCTTAGAGTCAGCACCCAGTCACATACAGTCACACTCCTTCAGGTACCTGCATGGCAGTGAAGCGAGATCTGATGAGACTGGCTTGGGAAGGAAAAGGGAGAATGACAGAAGAGGTAACTCTGATCAAGATAAGATCACTGTACACATAACCGTGCGCGCTGAAATGAAACGCCTTTGTACAACTAATTCAGACTAATACAAAATGAGTAACTGGTTTTTAAAAAAAAGACCACCTTGCCAGGTACTGGTGGCTCATGCTTATAATCCTAGCTACTTAGGAGGCTAAGGTCTGAGGTTCAAAGACTATGAGACTCTTAACCGCAAATGAACAGCAAAATGTCACAAGTGGAAGTGTGGCTTATGGGATGGAGTACCAGCCTTGAGCAAAAGAGCCAAGCAGGAGCTCAACTCCCCGACTTCAAGCCCAAGTAACAGCCTTCTGAGGGATTAATGCACTGATGGAGAAAAGTATACTCCTAAATGCTTCTAGAGGAGATGTACAGCTACTAACCTATTCTGTGCCAATTACTGTACCAAAACTTTTGTCTTTTATCTTTTACAACAACCTATCTTTCCAGTTCTTGGTACATAAGAAAACTGAGTTCTAAGGAAATAGGGACAGCATTAGTTAAGTGATTCAGACAAAATACATCTTCTGGGAAAGTGGCTTGCCTAGCATGCATGAGGCCCTGAGTTCAATTCCTCAGCATCACATACCCAGGAAAGGCCAGAAGTGGCCTTTGGGTAGAACGCTAATGGTAGAACACTAGCTTTGAGCAAAAGAACTCAGAGACAGTGCTCAGGCCCCGAGTTGAAGCCCCATGATCGACAAAAAACAGATTTCAAAAGCCCCTCTCCAGCAGGTGAGGTGGGCAACAGAGGCCAGCCAGCTCCCCGCTGCTGGGTCAGCTCCTGAGCACCAGTGCAGACCTGAAGGCTCTGAAGTATCACCACACTTACTCTGGCAGACCACGCCCGCTCCCTATCATTTCAGAAGGAAAGAAATACCTCCACTCTGCCACTCGCCGCCAGCGCCCGGAGGGCCCGGGCGGTAAGATGGGCTGTCCTGGCAGCCGCGTGGCCTGGGACACAGGCTCCAGCTCCCACCTGGACCGGTGTCACCTCACGCCACCAGCCTCTCCTCCCCTCGCCCACCCGGCGGCTCCCACGGCCGGGCCTACGACGCCTCACCTCTATGAGACGCGTCCTTCAGCAGCCGGGCCTCAGACTGCACCACGTTCCTGCTGCTGAGGAAGATCAGCCGCCGAAAGAATCGCCGGTCATCCCCTTGGACGTCTTCGATGACATACTCGCCGCTCAGGGGGCTGCAGGCTTGGTGCTGGACGGTCCGGACACCGATGTCCCCCCCCACAGATAGAAAGGGCACCTGGAGACATGGCCAGAGACACACCAGCTCAGTTAGGAAACACGAGAAGCCACCCATCCCTTGCTGGGTTTCAACAAGAGGACCTCCTGCCAGGGCTGTGGAGAGTGTCCCTGAAGATCTCCATCTACTACGCTTCTTGTCTGCCGGCTCTTTAAAAGTTCAATTCACCTTCTGCAAATTGTGACTGCAAAAACATCTCCTGAGCTACTATTGAAATATAATTAATTCTTCCCACCAAAAATGTAAGAACTCATTCGTAACCACTAAAAGACCTCTCAATGCCCGGGAGAATGAAAAAATAATAATAATGAAAGCTAGAAGGAAGCCTCAGGAAGGGGCTGCATTTATGAGGAATCTGGATAAGGGTAATGGCCACGAAGAGGGGAAAACACCCCCTAAATCTGCAAGTATTTCTCTGTTCCCCCAGTTATTTTCTTTATTCAAATTTTTGTAAACCTTAGGAGAAAAATATATTTCCCTCTAAAACTTCTTACCTCCTCCACCACCTTTACAACTATTTTTTTTCCTCTTTATGTTTTGAGACAGGGTCTTACAATGTAGCCTAGGCTGGCATCAACCTGTGATCCTCCTTTCCAAATGCAGAAATTATACACATTTACCACCATAAATACCATCATGGCTACCTCCTAATTATCAGCAATTTCTGACCTTTCAGAGATCACAGAGGAAGCTTCCGGAGGATCTGGGTCTCCCTGACATAATGTCTGGCTCATGGATACCAACTCAGCCAGGAAAAATCAAGCACACATTTGTCCATGGTCTGGAGTATGGTCTGGAAACGCAGGGTTTGTATTTCTTGTGTATGTGTTTGTGCTGGTCCTGGGGCTTGAACTGTCAAGGCACTGTCCCTGAGCTTCCCTGCTCAAGGCTAGCAACTCTACCACTTAAGCCCCAGTTCCTCTCCCAGCTATTCTGGTGCTTGCCTATAGACTTTCCTGCCTGGGCTGGCTTCAAACCCTGATCCTCAGATCTCAGCCACCAGAGGAGCTAGGATTACGGGCGTGAGCCACTCATGCCCAGCAAGGGACTTGCACTTTTACAGTAGTCCTCCAGATACGTGGGCTTTTCCATCTGTCAAAAAATAAAAAAAGCTGCCTGTCAATTACTCATGTAATGAGTAACTGACAAGATGTCAAAGTAGAAGGTATAACTGATGATCCTGTATCATTATTTTGCAACTTTAAAGCCAGCAATGCTAATACTCTGAAATCGCACTGAGCTGTTGGGTCCTTTCCATTTTATACCTCAGATAATGACAGTTCAGAGGAGCAAGACAGGTGAAGATGACTTTTTCTTTTTTTGGGGTTCGGTCGTGGGGCCTGAACTCTGGGCCTGGGCGCTGTCCCTCAGCTCTTCAGCTCAAGGCTAGCACTCTACCACTTGAGCCACAGCGCCACTTCTGGCTTTTTTCTTTTTGCTTATGTGGTGCTGAGGAATCGAACCCAGGGAGGGCCTCATGCATGCAAGGCAAGCGCTCTACCACTGAGCCACCTTCCCAGCCCCAAGATGTCTTTTTCAAAAGCAAGCAAAGAGAAACAGTCTCAACAATCAGCAGTTTGAAGAGCTAGAGGCAGCAAGATGTACAGCATTTCCATCTTGTCATCTCTATGCAGGCAGACAGACAGACACGCATGCATGCACAACCATGCTGCTATGGTTCTTAATAAAAGCAACTATTCAACTTTGTCTCTCTACTCCAGGGCAGGAGAAGACTGTTGTTGTCTTGGGTTCTGTTGGCTGCCTTGGTGCTGGTCCTGAAGCTAGGACCCAAGGCCTCCTGTGCTCACTTGGCTTTCGTGCTTGCCTCTGACGTGCTACCACTGGAGCCACATCTCCACTTCCAGCTTTTTGCTGGCTAATTGGAGATAAGCACTGCACAGACTCTTCTTCCCAGGCAGGCTTCAAACAATGATCCTCAGTTCTCAGCCTCCTGAGTAGCTAGGATTTCAGGAGTGAGACCCCAGCACCCCACAAGAAAATGTTTTCTGCCCGTTTAACACTAAGCTAACACACCTCAAAGGACCAAACTAAGGTCAGATTCCCGTTCTTCCAAGGCTCTTTCTGCCCTCCTGGCTGCTAGGGTGGGTGCAGAGATCAGGGAAAGCTGCTATCCGCCCGCGCTGGTACCTTCTGCTGGGAGGGCATTCTGGCCGGGACCAGCTCCATGACGCTGGCCGACAGCTCCGCCTGAATGCTGTCCATGCCGTCGTACTGCTGACCTCGATGGAGGGACACCGTGATCAGCCTCCGGAAGCCCGCGCTAGCTGCCAACTGCTTCCGGCCTTCCTCCGTGCCGAAGAGCCACTCAGTCTCACGGCCCTGGGGGACTGAAAAGGAGGGACGTGGTCACAGGGAGACCTGGCCGGAGCGGCCAGACCCACAGCAGTGTGGTCCCCGTGGCAGGCACGTGGCTCCCGTGACCCACACAGGGGCTGCTGACACCCCAGCACACAGGGAGCCCACGGGACACGGGACAGGACCCAAGGTGCGTCAGAGTGCAGGCATGGCAGGCATGGCGGAAGGGAGCAACAAAGGCGATTACTGTCAATGCTTTCTCCACACCAGGTGTGACTCCAAGCAGTTTACAAACATAAAGTAATAGATCTTCACAACACCCGAGACGCAGGCGGCATTCTCCTCGTTTAAAAAAAAAAAAGAAGGGAAAGGGAACTGAGGCACAGAAACTGCGTGATTCCCGTCAATTCATACGGCTGGGAAATGGCAGGGCTGCACCGAGACCCAGGCAGCCCACCCGGCTCTAGGCTCACATCCATTACACGATTCTCTCCCAAACGAGGACAGACAGGATCACAGAATACTTGGAAAATGGCTCTGTTGTCAGAAACAAATCACCGGGGGCTGTGAAAGTGGCTCAGTGGTAGAGAGAATACTTGGAAAATGGCTCTGTTGTCAGAAACAAATCACCGGGGGCTGTGAAAGTGGCTCAGTGGTAGAGAGCTTGCCTTGCATGCATGAGGCCCTGGGTTCGAGTCCTCAGCACCACATAAGCATAAAAGGCTGGGAGTGGCACTGTGGCTCAAAGTGGTAGAGCGCTAGCCTTGAGCTGAAGAGCTGAGGGACAGTGTCCAGGCCCAGAGTTCAGGCCCCGTGACCAACAGAAAAACACACAGACAAAGAAACAAATCACCCGCACGACTGTTAGCATCTAGCATTTGTTTAGAATTTCCTACAACGGAGGCATGTCCTCATGCTATCTCCTGACCCTCATTAGGTAAGCAAGGTATCTTTTACTCTTTGATAACACTTATGCAAAGCATTTATCCTATCATATACCAAGCACAAGCTCTCTGGCAGGGCTAGGGTTTAAACTCGGCAGTGTGCACCCGCAGGCCGTGAGATTAGGGCCTGAACCCGGGCCAGGCCCTCCTGCACGCTAGACAAGCGCTCTTCCATCTGAGCTATTCTCCCAACCACGCCAGGGACTGTTTCTAAGAGCTTTTATATATGTCTTGTAACTACAGAAGAGTTAAACCCTATTTCATCGGGGAGGAAACGGAGGTACCCGCAATAAAAGCAGCTTGTGTGACGCGGCACTATCAGCAAGGAGCCTCGCCAGGACTGCAATGCACAGTCTTGTTTCCAGAGCTTACTTTTTTTTCAGGTGCTACACTGAACCACCTCCCTAAAATCTGCAGAGAAGCACAGGCTGCTCACACCCCACAGTTCAGAGGCCAGCGCTGGGGCCAGAGCCTACCCCGCAGCGCCATAGCCAACAGGCCCCCGCACGGGGTGTATTAGCTACCAGACAGACCTCTGTTCCCCTCCCTACACAGATCCACTCTCACACCCCATGGGGCCTTTGCGACGGAAGATGAGAAAGAAGCAGCCTCCAATCTAAGCACACGTGGGGAGCCTTGGCCTAACGCTCTGGAGATAGCATTCTCTGAAAATCAGAAAGACGAACACAGCAAGCCATACCCATCCATCAAGCCCAGCTCCAGCCCCAGCCCCTCCAGGGAAGGAGAGGGAGCCGTCCCGACTCACTGATGAAAATGGCACAATGGTTGTCCCGCGCTGGCTTCACGGAGGGGCTGTCCACCACGTGGAGGGTGTAGCGTGGCTCGCCCGTGTGGCCACTGCACAGGTCCAGAGACACGCTCCTCCCCAGCCCGGCCCCGGCCGCGCGCAGCTGCCCGCACAGCCAGGCATGCTGCTGCTGCTCACGCACGGCCGCCACCAGCCGCTCGGCACTGTCCAGCCGCACGGGCTGGCCCTGCTCCTGAGCACACAGCTCAAAGATCTGGGGGGCCGCGCCAGGGACGGGCCTGAACTTGGTCATGATGAATGCAAAGACAGGCAGGGAGAACTGAGGCTCTGCCTCCGACGCCGGGTCCCGGCCGTGGGCGACTTGATGCACCCGCACCATCCACCCCTCCCGAGAGAAGTGACCCACTGCTTTCTTCAGGATGTGAGCCTGGGCCAGGGAGATGCAGAGGTAGCGACCGCCCACCTGCAGGACACGGCCCACCTCGGCCAGCATCCTGTCCACCAGCTGCAGCGTCTCCTCCTCCTCTCCTGTCAGGACAGCATCCAGGGTGCCCTTGTCCAACACCACCTGGAATGAGGCGTCGGGAAACTCCATCTGTGTCATGTCCATCTTCAAGAAGCTCATCCGGGGCCTTCGACTGGCATTGCGCTCCTTCATCTGCCTGATGACGACCTCGCTGATGTCAATGTTCACTATATCCTGATATCCCACATCATACAGCTGCTCACTCAGCTCCGAGTTGCCACACCCGATCACCAGAACCTAGAGGAAAAACACACACAGACACACACAAAAACCGATGAAAGGAGGGTGTCCGGTGCCTCAGGAAACTGAGCTCTGAGGATCACCCGTTCAAAGCCAGCCTGGGCAGGGAACTATGGGACTCTCCAATTAGGTACCAAAAAAGCTGGAAGTGGAGCTGTGGCTCAAGAGGCAGAGAAGAAAAGTAGTTGAGCCAAAAAGCTCAGGACAGCACCCAAGCCCTGAGTTCAAGCCCAGTACTGACACAACAATACATAAATAAATACATAAATAAAAGGGAGCTAATCAAGGCTAAGGAATGTGCTTCAAATATTTCAAGATCTTGGCTGTTCCGGGTTTCAGAAGACAGAGATGGTATTGTCACGAAAAAGGCAACTTTACAGTTGACTCTTATCACTAGTGAAAACCACACTTAGCAACAAAATAGGTCATGTGAGAATGGGGCTGTGTGCTGTAGAAACAATATCGTAGTCCTTTTCTCTGAAACGGAGCACCCAGTTCTCAGAAATTAACACAAAAGCACAGAATCCAAACACATTAGTTATAGCTAGGATCTTGTTTTACTCCCAACTTCATCCATCCATTAGTGCCTTTGGCTTCACAGGTAACAAACTACATCTTGTGAGGGTTCAAATTTTGCACCCATCAGATTTTACCTCATGGTATTTCGGAAGCCAACTTAAAACACAAACTGTTGACTCCCTTTCTGTGGAGCCATCTCTAATCTATTCTTCAAAATTCTGCTCACATGTTACCATCTCTGGCTAACGCATGACTTGATGGGAAGTGTGTAAGCTCGGGCACAAACCAGAGTTAAAACCTCAGTGACCACTTACAGTGCGGTCTCCCAGGTCACCTGGAAGACAAACATGTGTGGGACTGCTGGGTGCCGGCGGCTCAAGCCATTCGGGCTCCTACTCAGGAGGCTGAGGACCACAGTTCAAAGGCAGCGGGGGGGGGGGGGGGGGGGGGGGGGGGGGGGCAGGAAAGTCCGTGAATGGAGCTGTGGTCCAAGTGGTAGAGCACCAGCCTTGAGCACCGACGCTCAGGTCCCAAGACTGAGACCAAACAAGGCACACCAGGTGTCTGACTACTCACCTCCAGTTATGAGACCTGGAGGAATGTGCACACACACTTGCACACACACACGCTCACACACTCGGCTTAGCACGGAGGCTTCCTCCACCAACGCTCCCGGTCTCCCCTGGTTCTAGTGAGGTCTCCGCACGCACCAACCGCACAAACCCATTCCGCTGCGGTATTCCCGCGCGCGCCCGGTGCTCAGGGCTCGCACTGGCTCCCGCAGGGCTGCGTCCCGCACATCGCCCCTTGTGCAACCGACTCTCACGAGTGTGCGTTCCCCGCGCCGGCGCGGGAGCGGCTCCACACGCGCACGCCTGGAGGCGCGCCCGGGACCCCGAGACGGGGCGGGCGGCGAGCCCGTCCCACCGCGGGTGTCAGCGCCGGAGGGGCGCAGGGCGGCCTGCGGGCGGCCCTCCCCGGCCCCGCCATCGGCCCCGCCGCGCCCCCGTGTCCCCCGGCCCCGCCATCGGCCCCGCGATCGGCCCCGCCGCGCCCCCGGGCGCCCCGCCGCGCCCTCACCTTCTCCCGGGGCCGGATGTACTTGTGCAGCAGCCCGCACAGGTCCAGGTAGCTCCCGTACCACTCGAAAGCCTTCTTGCCCCGCAGCTGGAAAAACTTCTCCCAGTAGTCCGCCGAGCCGAAGTCCCGGGAGCTCTTCGGCAGGAGACCCGCGCTCCCCGCGCCCGCCATGCGCCCTGGCGGTCACGCCCGGCGGGGCCGCGCGAGGCCGCACCGGCTCCGGGGCACCGCCGACTCGCGTCCGCAGACGGACGGACGGACGGACACGCGGACCCGCCTCCCAGCGCTCAGAACGCGAAGGGGCTGGGAAGACGCTGACGGCCAGCGCAGGGCCCCCGCCCGCCCGCCCACTCCCGGGCGCCGCACGTGCAGGCGCTTCCCAAGCTCGGTCCCCGAACTCAGCAACCATATCCGGTGCGAGGCCTCGTGATTGGGCAGCCTCCCAGGCGATCCCAGCATCTCATTGGTCACCGCGTCTCCTTCCTGACACCTCATTGGCTGGGACACGCTAAGTCTCGCAGCTACTGGCGGCTGCGTCGCAGCGGCGCGCACTGCTGACGTAAGACGCGGAGCCGGGATGGGGCGGGGCCGGAGGTGGGGCGGGGCCGAGGGCGGGGCCGGAGGCTGTCCGGGGGCGGGGCCAGGGCCTTCCAGGAAGGGGCGGGGCGGGGGCCGGGGCGGGGGCCGGGCCGGGCCGGGCCGGGCCGGGGCGGGGCGGGCCGGGGCGGGCCGGGGCGGGCCGGGGCGGGCCGGGGCGGGGCCGGCGGTCTGGGGCACCGCTGTAGCGCGGCCTTCCGGCCCCGGGCTCTGCATCCCGGATCCCGCGCGCGGGCGGCCGGTCTCGGTCTCCGTAACCCCAGTATACGTCACCTCGGTAATAACCGTAAAGTGAGCTAATTTCTTATAAAAGGCGAGAAGGCGTGACAGCGGGGCTCCGGGTGCCTTCCCCCTTCCTGTCCTCCCCCCCCCCCCGGGCCTCACCCCCGACCCCCCCTCGTGCCCCCCTGGGCCTCCCCCCGACCCCCCCTCGTGCCCCCCCCGGGCCTCCCCTCCCGGCCCCCCCCGTACCTATCCCCTATGTCCCCCCGGGCCCCCCCCGGGCCTCCCCCCCGGGCCCCCCCATCTTCCCCCTCCGTGCCTCCCCCCATGTGCCTCCCACCTCCCGGCAACTGCACCCAGCAGACCAGCAGACCCCCTGGCCTTAGCTGTGGCTCCGGTTGGGGCGTGGCCCTGCGGAGGTGTGAGTCCCAGCAGGCAGCCGGGTACATTGCACACCTAGGGGAAGTGTGCAGGGGTGTGGTGTGGCTGTGGGGGGGAGGTGTGCAGGGGTGTGGTGTGGCTGTGGAGGTGTGCAGGGGTGTGGTGGGGCTGTGGGGGAGGTGTGCAGGGGTGTGGTGGGGCTGTGGAGGTGTGCAGGGGTGTGTGGTGGGGCTGTGGGGGAGGTGTGCAGGGGTGTGGTGTGGCTGTGGAGGTGTGCAGGGGTGTGGTGTGGCTGTGGAGGTGTGCAGGGGTGTGGTGGGGCTGTGGGGGAGGTGTGCAGGGGTGTGGTGTGGCTGTGGAGGTGTGCAGGGGTGTGGTGTGGCCGTGGAGGTGTGCAGGGGTGTGGTGTGGCCGTGGAGTTGTGCAGGGGTGTGGTGTGGCCGTGGAGGTGTGCAGGGGTGTGGTGTGGCTGTGGAGGTGTGCAGGGGTGTGGTGGGGCTGTGGGGGAGGTGTGCAGGGGTGTGGTGTGGCTGTGGAGGTGTGCAGGGGTGTGGTGTGGCTGTGGAGGTGTGCAGGGGTGTGGTGGGGCTGTGGGGGAGGTGTGCAGGGGTGTGGTGTGGCTGTGGAGGTGTGCAGGGGTGTGGTGTGGCTGTGGAGGTGTGCAGGGGTGTGGTGTGGCTGTGGAGGTGTGCAGGGGTGTGTGGTGGGGCTGTGGGGGAGGTGTGCAGGGGTGTGGTGGGGTTGTGGGGGGGGAGGTGTGCAGGGGTGTGGTGTGGCTGTGGGGGGTGGTGTGCAGGGGTGTGGTGTGGCTGTGGCAGGGAGATGTGCTGGGGTGTGGTGGAGTGTTGGTCTCAGACCAAAAATAGGAAATCTAATTGATAGGCATGAACCATAATGAGTATGGTTCATTTAAGTCAATTAGATGCTTCAGTGCTTTGTTTTCTTAAGATCCCTAATTATTGTTATTATTCCCTATTATTACATTGCTTTATATTACCTGTGTGATTTAAAATAAAGACTGTATTTATATAAGGACATTTAATATTGTCGAGTTTACTTCCAAAACTATAAACCCAGATTTACATAATTTTCAAGTTAATCTTAACATATATAAAGTTTGATAAGGGTGTACAGTTTGCTACTAAAATTAGCTGTGAAATAAGGAATGAGAAGCTAAGCACTTTTCTGATCATTTAGGCTAGAACATCTTAAAGACAGGATAATAACCCTCCAAAGACGTCCACATCCTAATCACCAGCTTGTGGGACTATGTTACATTGCAAAAGAGAATTGAGGCTGTCGATGCAATTAAGGTTACTAATCAGTTCATATTAAAATAGGAAGATTAGACTGTCGGAGTAAACCAGTGTCAGGGCAAGGGTCTTCTTAAATAGAGAGGCAGAACAGGCGATGGGACAGGACGAAAATGATTTGGCCTGGTTTTGATGGCTTTGGGGGAGGGAAGGGCCCTACGCCCAGGAAAGGGAGAAAGGAGAAGGAAAGTTCTCCTATCATGCCTGCAGAAGGACACCGGTTTTCGTGTCCAGCCGACACCTGTGTCAGCTTTCTGAGAACTACGAGCTAATACGTGTATCCTTTTGTGGCACTAAGTTTTTGGCAATTTATGACTGTAGCAATAAAAATCTAAAACAAAAAAATACATATGAAAGGAAGGAACATAGGGTTGGAGGCCTGGCCCAGTTGGTATAGTGCCCATCAATGAACAAAAGTTTAAGGTACGGAGTTTGAGTCCAGGTCTTGAACCTAAAAAAAATTAATGAATAATAAATAAATAAAGGAAGAAACAAAATTTAAGGTTGGGGCAGAAGTTTACCGTGGCAGCAGCTGATCAAATGAGAAACTGCGTCAAACAAGCTTTGGAGGTGTCTTTTATTCCAAACACTTAAATAAGCCTTCAAGGTACAAGAAGCCAACAGAGAACAGGGTCGCGATAGCTGGAAAGACAGTTATCTGAGAATTATGCTTGAGAAAGACTGAAGTGTTTGGTGACTTGCTGGAGGCAGGAAATGAAGGCCGCAATCCCTACACGGTTGCCACGTCGCCCGCTAGATGGCCCAGAAGACGAAAGGGCATCGTTTGTAGAAGGGTGAGTTGTGAGGAATGTGGCGGTCATTGTGCCAGCGACACTCAGAACCAGAGTGCGTGCTGGTCTCCTCACCCCGCACGCGGTCCTCTCCCCTTCTCCCACAGCCACCCAGTGGGACTCAGAGTACTTCACGGGTGGGCTGTACGCTGGGTAAAGGGCATCTCTCCTTGGTGTACAGGGAGTGGCTCATATAATACTAGAAACTATTCATCCTGGCCATCTTGGAAAATAGGTTTGTTTTCCACATTTGAGATGTTGAGAAATCAACAGTTCTGTTTCTTGGAATAACAAGACAGGCACCAAGCTCCAGGGTAATACTATACCTTCTTATTAGCTGGGTGTCAACAATTTCTTGAAGAAAAGGTTGACCTGGGAAATCACTCTCAAACTAATAGTAGATTCTTATGATTGGGAGAATAGTGTTTCTTAATTTGTAAAACATTTGTCATTTGCTAAGAATCTTTCTCATATAATATTCTGAATTTACAGGAAGGAAATTCAGACTTAGGGTGCTAATTTTCACGTTAGCAGACTTGATCCCTCTGCCTACAACAACATTAGTTAGTGTCATCCTAAGAGATGGTTATAACCGATTTCTCATACACACACTCAAACTGATCAATAATAAATGGAAATGTCTCATTTGTGACCGGGAGTGAAGTCAGCCATACTGCCACTGGGTATTATATTTGATTCCCAGGATTTTCTTCATTCGGTGACTTTCTATTCTGGGTGTACAGATTTCCTCATATGGCTACACTGCAAAGCATTATGTACTCTTTGAGAGGAGGAAAGGACATATATAGGAAGTTGCTGGTCTTTGGGGCCAAGAGGCAATTCATGGGAAGAACTGGGAAGTGGGGGCAGAGGAGAGAAAGTCTCTGAGGCCTGTGTCTGGGGCAAGAACCACATGAAGGGTCTCCAGGCCCCCTGTGGGCTTTCTCAGGGCGTGAATTTTGTGAAACTCCTCACCAGCTCTATTGCCTGATTTCATCTCTTGTTTACAACAATCCATTTACCACACAAAACCCCAAGTGGTGTTGTAAACTAATGCCATTTAAAAAAATTGAAATATGGGCTGGGAAGGTGGCTCAGTGATAGAGCGCTTGCCTCGCCTGCATGAGGCCCTGGGTTCGATTCCTCAGCACCACATAAGCAGAAAAATCTGGAAGTGGCGCTGTGGCTCAAGTGGTAGAGCTGCTCGCCTTGAGCTGAAGAGCTGAGGGACAGCGCCCAGGCCCAGAGTTCAGGCCCCACGACCGACAAAAAAGAAAAAAGAAAAGCACTTACAAAACAACTTATTTTTCTCCTAAACTCTCCACTCGTCACTCTCAGTCAGGAGCACCTCATGTAACCACCACCCCTGTTTTTGGATGATCTCTGTCCACAACACACACCAAAATATTTTTTTCACCACCAAGAGAATGGATTTCAAAACAGAATTTAATAAATAAAATGTATCCAAGTGCTCCACCCAACATGTTTTTCTTCAACGTTCAGATCCAGAGCCCTCAAAGAATGTTTTTAAAAATTCCCTTTAGTCCAACAAAAAAAGTTATGTGGAATCCTTCCCCCCAAATAAAATGTTTTTCTTGCCCACGAGAGTGAAGAAAGTCTTTTTATTTCCCCTAAGGAGAATTTCAAATTACAGTGCCAGAACTTTCACTTTCCTTGATGCATCTTTTAATCATGTATTTTTATCCTCATTGATCTGACTTTTGGTACAAAGACTTCCCCAGTATAAGGAACTTCCCTCCTTGCTATACTGTTTTGAAAATTCAGAAGATCAATGTCCTCAGAGAATATAGCGTGGTATTTCTAGAGACAGCTGGCAGGAGAGGAAATCCTATTTATGCAAAAACCATTTAGCACAGAGGATGGTGTTTGGAATT